TGGCAGAGATTTGGCGTTGTAAGCACAATGTCTGCACACTGCATAGCCAGGACGTTTCATCAAATATCGCGGTGGTATAAGTGCGTATTTATAGGGATTGTGCTCTCTTTCATCGATGTATTTTTGCATCTGTAATCATCATTTTATAGCCAACAATTTTTTTCTGGGTGTTTCTACTGAACGGTTGACGAGCTTTTGCAATCGTACATAGGCAAAACTCAATTGATGATGTTTAATGATTGATATCAGAATAAATTCATCGAGATGGTTCATATTTCAAGATATTTCGAATTGTTTTGACGCGTGAGGAGTTGGAAATACGACATTGAAATTTAGGAAAAAACGAAAAGTATTTCAAAAATGAACTTGATTTTGAGAGTTATTCAAATTATTTTGAGTAATTGCATCGATCTGATGAAGAAGATTAGTGAAATTGAAAGGGATGTATTCTTCTTCAACGTTCAATTCCGCTCGCGACAATTGTTCTTTCCTTTCCTTCACGCTGAAAGTTTTTCTCTTGAATTGTCGTTCAACCCTTAATCGTTGCTCTCAGTTGGCTAACATTTGTTTGTAGAAATTCGTTTGGAAGGAAACAAATCTTGCAATTTTTCAGATTCATCTGTGGACTCTTTATAAGATTAGCAAAAAACAGGGAATATTGGTGGTGATTTGAATATGGCTAAAGTAATGATTTGTACTTCGATATAATAATTCAGAATTGCAATGTTCAGATGTGTTGGGTGCTGTTCAGTTTGGTGATTTTATAAGTGTGGGTGTATTGAAACTGAATATGAAGTCAGAAGTAATTTCAGTTCGAAAATAATCGTCATTCCAACATCAAATACCTTATAAGCCATAGTTTTCACTTACAATAGTGCCATACTGAATGTTCAGTTTAATTATCTAATGCAAACAATTCGCCACTACCAAAACAAACTATTAAACAAATGAAAATCGAAGAAGATGAACGTGGAAGGAAACAAACTCAATTGAATCGAACATCACCGAAACCTCCCACCTAATTCCAAATCAAATAAAAGACTCATTCGCTAATTATTATTATGAACTATTTGTATATGAAAATGAATTTTACATGTTATATGACTGAAACATGCAAATTGACTGATATAATTTAAGAGTTGTTAAATTATCGAACTACATCATATATTGCAGCAGTGATGCTGTGTGGGTGTAAAACATGGAGCGTAACAGAAACAGATGAGAAGTTAACAGATGACGTTGCAGAGGGGGGATGGCGAAGGTGACGACCTCAGTCAATAAATGGGGTCATAGATTAAATGATTGGATGTGAGGTATCATTAAAGAAAGTTTGAGTGGTAAAGGAAGATAGGTAGCGCTAGGGATGGGGCAAATAAAATAACGAAATATAGTTACCAAAGGTTTTGGAAGAGTGGCTGATGAACGCTGAGAATAAGATTGAGCGATCTGATTTGCAAGCTGAACGACAAAAATTAAACTGTGACATGATGCTACTGGAGAGGCTTTTAGTGGTAATGAGTAACGACGATTGAATGAATAAATTATTTTTTATTCGAATTTGTGATTTTACTTGACAAATCCTGATTGATTCGTCTACGGAGTAAAAACTGTTAATGATGGGGCAAATCGCACATAAGTAGATTCGTAAAATGTTTGTTATTGTTACGGTTACTTACTGAATTGCCATTCGGTTCTGTTTAATTATGCAGATTATTTACGGCAATATGCATTCAATGTTGCTTGTCTATGGATCTGTGCCGTTTTACCGATTGAAATAATTGTTTATTATTGATACCGAAAGACCACTGCCTTACTGATATCAATTGTCTCGGACAACTTCTTTAAGCGATCACCGGACACATATTCAGTCATCATGTGCAGTATATTTCTGAGCTCATTTCGAGTCCATCTCCTTTGAAATCGTTGAGCAAGATGGTAAAGTAGTCATAAGTCTCTATGATCGCCAAGCCAATACTCGAAATTAAAATTTCATGAAGATGAATGATCGATCCCCTGTGCTAATATCGTTAGGTGGAAGAATGTGATGTTGGCGATAAGAGAGAAGCATAAACTCGTAATGAGTTGTAATTGCTGATTAGATAAATAAATAAACGTTACAAACAGATATTTATTATTCCATTAAACAACACTTGAACAATAAACAATATTTGCATTATGAATGCACAAAACATTTCGGCCACTTCATTCAGTTTATCAGCGCTGATAAAACGGCCGTTTATGATAGTATGCTAACAAATGCCGATAACAATATGACCGAAATAAACTTTTTATCGTTACGCAAACGATGTTGAATGCTGGCTGTCACTAGAAAAGAGAAACATTCGTTAAGAAAATTTTAAAATGACACATTTCAGTGGAAATGAACAGCCAATATATTTGAAGTGATTTACACATAACGAACTGCTGAACATAAATACGCATTCTTTCATCACGATGCAGCAGTTCTCATCCATTGGTCAGTCATAAACGAAATACTTCCTTGTCACTCAAACAATTGTCTCTAGATAACAACATAACAACCCTAAAAGATCGATATAAGGTTTAGCATCGAATTTGCTTCCGACTGAGTCCAATTTGTCGGCGAAACCGAAATCAAAAACTGCATCTTTCAAATCGAATCACCAACGAAATTTGCAACGAAATTGAACTTGTTGGGGTGAGTCAACAAGGAATTAACTTTCGGAGAATTCAGATGAAAAAGCAATCGTGTTTGACGCGCAGCACCATTTATTGTGTACACTTCAATGACAACACTCGAAAGTGTTCCTATTCAGAGCTTTCTTACGCATTCTCAAACGATCAAGTGCAACACCATTAGTAAAGACAGCTCGTCAGCATCGAAAACGAGTGCGATATTTCGGATTTATTTGCTCGCAATTAACTGATTACACATTCCACGTATGAAAATGAACTTGTTAGTTGTTGACGGCAAATTAGGTGAGAGTACACAACAAATAAGTGAATTTTAGTCAAACACATACTCTGCAAAAAAAGGAAGCCTCATATTGCATTTGGAAACAATTTGAAACGGACAAAATCTTATTTTGATAGAGTTTTCAATAGAGTGCACTCAGAGCCGATGAGAGGAGGGGTGGGGTGCGGAGAGGAAATGACTACTGATATGAAATACACAACAAAACTGGAGTAGTTGATTTTTGGAGTCTTGAGCACAGCTCTAATCATGAATAGCATATGCTAAAGATATCACAGTGAGGCGTGAAGATTTGAAAAAAAATAGAGAAAAATTAATTTAAGAAAGTCATTTGTGATAGATATCGTGACGATAAAATGTGAAATTGAGATGAATACGAGTCATATTACTACCTACGCCACAAAAATGATGGTGTTCGATCAAAATCAACAACAAAAACAACGAAACAACTACAAAACAACACATGAAATATGATTATACCACGGAACGTCACTGACTGCAAATACTCAATTCACGGGTAATGTTGAATTCAATTCACATTTGTAATGCAACTAAATCATAAGCTAATACAGATGTGTTATGATAACACTTATCAACAATGAACACTGAGTAAAGACTCAACAAAAGATGAATTAACGCACGAGAATCAACGATTATCTCGATTTCTGCTACGGCAGACATTCACACGGTTACTTATGCGCTTCTGGCATCAACGTTCGAGCATGGTCACGGAAAGTTTAAACTTGATCGGTGTTCATGTTAATGCCGGTTAAACACAATCAATTCACTAGCAATTTACCTAGAGAAACAAAGAGAACACAGAAGTGGCATAAGTTCTCGGATTAGAAGGAGTGAGATTGGTCGTGGGCTCTGAAATCATTGGTGCGTAAAAGTGTTTATGCTCGAATTGAGAACTTTTAAAGTGATCACTGTTCAACCTCTGAGAGA